GGGGGGAGTGAATATAAAAATAAAAATATTAAGAGAACATACGTGCATAATCTATTTTAGGTTTATTAACTGAATTTATTGTTTAGATTGAACAAATAGGATTCCCAAATATTATTATTGTGACGGCATCATCAGAATCATACTTGGAAACTGAGTATAAACAGGTTAGCTCTAAAGATACTGATACACGGAACTATATATATTAACTGAGTATAAACAGGTTAGCTCTATAGATGCTGATACACGGAACTAATATATTAACTGAGTATAAACAGGTTAGCTCTTCAGATACAGATACACGGAACTATTATATATTTCTAACACAGAATATGATGAACAGCTAGAACTCTTCACAAACAACCAAGTCACGTCAAACTTAAGTAAATTTCACCTAAAAGTGAAATCTGTTACGTCTTTAAATCTTAAATTTAAAGACCAAAAGCATTCTGAATTTCTAATATTGTATATTTGTGCATAACCCAAAAACAAAGAAGCTATGAAGTCGTAGCAGAAATTTTTTACCTTCTCTCAACGGTACCCTTGAAACCTTTATCTGATTAATAATGTGGAAGATATTGTCGTTTTTCTAGGTTTAAAACTGCTTAGTTTTGATAATTTCTATATGCTTTCTTGCAGTAGAAATACGCACTGATTAGTTCTGATAATAATCTATTTTTCTGCAGTAGAAATACGCACTGATTAGTTCTGATAATAATCTATTTTTCTGCAGTAGAAATACGCAAATCACTTTTGTAGAGAAACCAAGATTAAAAGTAATCAGAGCTGGGAACTTTAGAATGGTGGATATCGGGATTAATGTTTGATCAACTCTTTTTCTTAATCTCCAGATTAAATATTGCTTGTTGTCCTCATGAATTTAATCTCCAGATTAATTAACAGATCGGGATTAAGGATTTCATAATTATAAACATGAATATCTTATTCATACTTGATCTGACAATGCCAATTGTGAATCGGGCAGTGCCATCTTTGTATGGAGGATCACTTAAAATTACGCTTACAGTCCCTTTAAAGAGAAAAACAATTAAATTGTCAAGATAGAAGAATCTTATTGAATTTGTATGCATTATTCCTGTATCTTGTTATATCCTTTAAAGAGAAAAAAACAACTAAAATGTCAAGATAGAGGAATCTTATTGTATTTGTATGCATATTCCCTTAGTCTGGTTATATCTTTTAAAGAGAAAACAACAGCTAAAATGTCAAGATAGAAGAATCTTATTGAATTTGTATGCATATTTCCTTAGTCTGGTTATATCTTTTAAAGAGGAAAAACAGCTAAAATGTCAAGATAGAGGAATCTTATTGTATTTGTATGCATATTCCTTTAGTCTGGTTATATCTTTTAAAGAGAAAACAACAGCTAAAATGTCAAGATAGAAGAATCTTATTGAATTTTTATGCATTATTCCTGTATCTTGTTATATCCTTTAAAGAGAAAAGAACTAAAATATCAAGATAGAAGAATCTTGTTGAATGTTTATGCATATTCCCTGTATCTTATCCTTTAAAGGTTTCTAAAGTAGGAATGTATTACATTCTTCTGACAACAGTTCAAGTTTTATTCAATTTTAAAATAGAAAATACTCTAAAACCTTTATAGAAAACAGAACTTTCTAAAACTTAAACTTAAAGGGAATGTTCAGATATTTGGATAATGTAGAAGTTTCCAATTATTGAACGTGATATTTAGTTAAATATACAATAATAATATTATTTTAGACAAAGGCACTACTTTTTAACCTTTATATCTCAGCAAACCGATTTCGTAGTCCTTCGATATCTTAAAGATCCGATCAGATCGTCTAAGTTTGAAATATCGAAGGTTTCTACCATCAGGTTTTAAAGATATAGTGATTAGCAAATTTGAGTTTGTGCTAAGAAATGAGTTCCTTTGGAGGATATCATAAAATAATACTTTTTCCCTGGTAGCTTTTTTACTAAAGGGACTGTAGACGTAATTTGATTTTCTTAAATGTCGTCTTCATCAATCAATCAATCAATTCATTTTATAGACGATCATGAATGTCGTCTTCATCTAGACCCACAATTCCAACCAATCAGAACGCTCCATTTCAAGTCACGTGATCAAATATATCATCTAATAGGAGCCTTCCTATTGGTCGCCATTTCTGTCGTAAATAACTGCTGATATCACTACTGACCCTCCAATTATAGATTTACAATTCCAATTTATAATGGTACCTTTTAATGTAAGAAAGACATCGTCGCCTTTTTTGGTTTGTTTGTCTACGGATACTTTTATTACTCATATTGATAACAACCCTTTCTAGAAAATAAAAAGGAAATAAACGTAATAAAACTCGTGTTCTTTAAACTCGTTAAAAAATGAATTGCATGTGGATAAAACAAATATGTATCTGCAATTTGAATGTTCAAAATCAAACTGTTATTCATGTATTTCTGAATAAATAAATGTGCCATCCTTAGTTCTGAGCCAGCTATTGATTCTGATTGAGCTAAATAACNGTAAGTTTCATCTCGTTAAATTAGTTTCAGTTTTCTCAAGTAAGTTTCATCTCGTTAAATTAGTTTCAGTTTTCTCAAGTAAGTTTCATCTCGTTAAATTAGTTTCAGTTTTCTCAAGTAAGTTTCATCTCGTTAAATTAGTTTCAGTTTTCTCAAGTAAGTTTCATCTCGTTAAATTAGTTTCAGTTTTCTCAAGTAAGTTTCATCTCGTTAAATTAGTTTCAGTTTTCTCAAGTAAGTTTCATCTCGTTAAATTAGTTTCAGTTTTCTCAAGTAAGTTTCATCTCGTTAAATTAGTTTCAGTTTTCTCAAGTAAGTTTCATCTCGTTAAATTAGTTTCAGTTTTCTCAAGTAAGTTTCATCTCGTTAAATTAGTTTCAGTTTTCTCAAGTAAGTTTCATCTCGTTAAATTAGTTTCAGTTTTCTCAAGTAAGTTTCATCTCGTTAAATTAGTTTCAGTTTTCTCAAGTAAGTTTCATCTCGTTAAATTAGTTTCAGTTTTCTCAAGTAAGTTTCATCTCGTTAAATTAGTTTCAGTTTTCTCAAGTAAGTTTCATCTCGTTAAATTAGTTTCAGTTTTCTCAAGTAAGTTTCATCTCGTTAAATTAGTTTCAGTTTTTTCCAGTAAGTTTCATCTCGTTAAATTAGTTTCAGTTTTCTCAAGTGATTATCATCTCGTTATTTCGTTTCATTTTTCTCATAAGTAAGTTTCATCCCGCCAAATAAGTTTAATGCTTTAATAAAGTGTTGATAATTTTTTTTAGAGAAAAAAGGCTGCAAAACGTTTAGTTTGTAGGGTATATTCTAGAAAAGCCATTTGCCATTCCATGCCCGGAATAGCGGAACTTCAGTCGTTAAAGTAAAGTAGATATTCCTAGAACCAAAACTTTGAGTTTTGATAAATATATACATAAAGAATCTTTTTAAGATATTGTATATGGAAAGTGAAAATTTGAGTGAAAACCTAATTTTTCTTTAATATTTTTACTTTAAAGTAGATCTTCATTAATTGTATAAAGGGGGTTTAGAATGATGCATAATTATTAGTGGATTGGTAAACTGAATGTTTGAGATAGACATTCTAAGAATCCGATAAATCAAGGTTTGCTCCAATTATAATCTGTAAAAATAAGTACATCCGATCGAAATAAAAATAAATCCTATCAATGCAAACCTTTATCATGGTTCGTCCTATCCATGTTTTCAGATTCATGAGCATTCCCTTGAAGGAATCTTCTTAGTCACATAGTATACAGGGTTACCCACAAAAGATGAGACGTCAGAGACGACTGTACTGAATTTACACTGTCTGTTTACTTATACTTTTAATTTCCTGCAACTGTAAACTTCTTTCTTTGCTCAATAATAAAAAATTCCACCGACCAAAAGAATATATTTACGACAGATGACATTAAAATTGAAATTGTCAATTTTAAAGAGTTTTAGGTCGTCAGTACTGTCTCAACCTTTGTGGGTAACCCTATATATCTGAATTCTCAAGAATGATGTTTAGTTCCTCTGAGTTCTGGAGAGTTTATAAACGGTGGTGAAACCTGGTCAGTTCTACTTCACAACAAGATAATTAATTCTGCAAGGAAACCGAATAATATTAGAGACATTTTTGGTAAATTCTAAACCTTAATTCAAAGACCGAAAGAGCTTTATTATATTTTCTATTGTAGGTAATATCGTCTCTTATTATTCGGAAATTTTTAGAAGCTTGACTCCAGTTTATAAGATTGGAAAAGTTCAACCATCCATGTACACTACATCACAGAGGTTTCAGATCTCCCCTCAGGATATAAACAAACAAGGATACTTCTTATTCCTCTGCCGTGTCTCAGAGTTTGAAATCAGTGTTGAGGCACCAGATCGGAGAAACTTTTCTACATCCAACGGAGATATTTTGCCGGTTAGATCTTGCAGATTTCTTGAATTTGAAATTAGCTAAATTATGTGGAAAGTTTTCATTTCGTCCTCGTTCAGAAGAACTTTGGGTAATTTATGCAGCCATTAGAGAATCACGTTTAAACAATATTTTAGATGATTTAGTTTTAGGTTTAGAAACTTCAGGTTTAGGTTTAGAAACTTCAGGTTTAGGTTTAGAAACTTCAGGTTTAGGATGAGAGACTTCAAGTTTAGATTCAGCAACTTCAGTTTTTTTTAAATTTCTATTTTTTTATTTTAAGATCGTTTTTGATATTTTTTAAATATTTATATGATATCAGATGAACATATTTTAACATTTCTATATTTCTTGTTCTTCATTTTCTTCTTGTTTGTACATCTTTTAATCATATTTCAGCTAATTTTGAAAATTTTTATTGGGATATCCTTGCAGTATGCCACACTGCAAGTTAGACCTAGCTGAGAGGATCTTGCTTTCTTTTTTTTCTGAACTCTGTATTGAATTTTTTTACTCATGGTTACATCTGACTAATCAAAACACACAATTCCTGATACTTTCTTGGGGGATGGGGGGGGGGGGGGGGTGAGAGAAATCATCTTATCCCCCTACCCCCTCCCAATTTTCTTTTTTCTTCCTGTTCAATTTTCTTTTTTCTTCTTGCTTCCTGTTTTTTGTTTCTACGCTTTGAGGCCTCTCCAAATAGTTCTTGTGACATCAAGTTGTGGAGCAGGCAGGAGAGAAATAAGGAGGTTAGGAGGAGGAAAGGTATAAGTGATTTCTCACTGTTTTCCTTCTTTTTAAAGTCTTTTATGACTTAAGCAGAATTTAAGGAAACCCATAACTGCACCACTTATGCAAAATGTGGAGTTGGAAGCCTTAAAGCCCCATCAGGTGGAATCTTCCACAGTAGACCAGTTCACACAGCCAGCCGAGTAAAAAACCAGTATTGTTGTGCATGGCTTGTTTACCCATTAGGGGTTATACCCCTTCCTTCAGCTGAGCCAAGCTGAAAATGGAGTTCTTGTTTTATTTACCTCCTACGTTTCACTCGTAGGATACGTTATGAGCAACTCTATATTCAGGTTTAGGATGAGAATAAACAGGTTTTGGAAGAGGATATTCAGCCTTAGAATGAAAATATTCAGGTTTAGAATGAAAGTATTCAGGTTTAGCATGACATTATACAGGTTAAGGATGAGAATATTCAGGTTAAGGATGAGAATATTCAGGTTTAGGATGAGAATATATAGGTTTAGGATGAGGATATACAGGTTAAGGATGCGAATATTCAGGTTTAGGATGAGAATATTCAGGTTTAGGATGAGGATATACAGGTTAAGGATGCGAATATTCAGGTTTAAGATGAGGAAATTCAGGTTTAGAATGAAATTATTCAGGTTTAAGATGAGGATATTCAGGTTTAGGATGAGGATATTCAGATTTAGGTTGAGAATATACAGGTTAAGAATGAAAATATTCAGGTTTAGGATGAGAATATTCAGGTTTAGGATGAGAATATTCAGATTTAGTTTGAGAATATACAGGTTAAGAATGAGAAAATTCAGGTTTAAGATGATGATATTCAGGTTTATGATAAGAATGTATGGTCAGTATTTTTATGGCTCGACTTTATTCTTGGTAAAAAGGTTCATTTTCGGATTTATAATTAGAATAATATCCAGGTTTGGGATGGGTCGGTTCCTGTCCTGTTCTTGGATTCTGAAAGAATGTCTGGAAACTGGAGTATAATTGTCAAACCAAAACTTCAGGAACATGATTAATTACGATTTTGGATTAAAGATATAACTTTAAGTAACTTCCGAAATAAATGGGATGTTCAGTTATATTTGGGGAAAGTGGAAGGTGCAATTCAAACTTAAGTTCTAGATGTCCCTCTACATAATTTCTGGGATTTAAATTTTTTGGGAAAAATGTGTAAGTATGTGTTTACATTACCACCCAGAGTAAGTACACTGCAATACAAATGATGCGTACACATCTGAAATAACTTTCCTTGCATTATAACCTTGCCTTTTCGTTTTTTATTTCACATTCTGCGGCTGAAACGTTTTTGGTAAAAAAAACTAAGAAATTAGTTCTATTGCAGACGATAAAGGTTTAAAACTGAAGTAAGATGTTTCCATATTTAAAGATTACTTGTAAATACGTCATACAATCCCTTTGAGTAAAGTTTTTTAAGGTAAAGAGGAAAGGATTAGTTTAGTTGCAGCTAAGGTATATAATACTAGGCTTTTAGAGCGCTTCGCGCCCATTTTTAAGCACAAATTTTTGAAATTTTTATCATTCATAAACCTTCGTAGGGGTCACGTGAGTTCCCACACAAAATTTGGGCCCGATCGGTTCAGCCGTTTTAACGTTTATTGGATACAAACAGACAGACAGACAAGCAAAGTTTATACATAGATATATATTTCCAGAGTTAGGATTAGTTTAGGTGGACAGAGGACGAATTACCTAAAGTTAGGATGAGAACAGAACTGATTAGTTTTCAAATTTACACGCTGCCATCCAACCTTACCACAAAGTTTGCAGTTCTGTTGTCGTATTGGATATATTGATTAAAGGAACTGAGTTCTTGTCGTATTGGATATATTGATTAAAGGAACTGAGTTCTTGTCGTATTGGATATATTGATTAAAGGAACTGAGTTCTTGTCGCAAACTCAAAATTTTCTAACCCTATAGTATCTTTGCAACAGGATGGTCTAAACCTTTGATATTTCAACGTATTGATTAAACAGAATTCACAGTTTGAATCAAAAAAGGCCTCTGGCATAGGATCTAAATGTATAAGGATTAAAAAATTAAGAGTTTTTGGTAAAAAAAATTGGAGTTCATTTATGATGAAACCAACCAATAGATAAATAGATCATGAACACCCCTAGAGATAAATAAATAAAACATTTTTCTATTTATATCCTTTTCTAACGCTGCGAAAACTACGTTCACATTTCACCTCTTTATGACTAAATACTAACTAAAAAGTTAAAATGTGTTAAAAAGTTTTTCTTCTTCTTTAAATATAGAATTAAAAAAATATAAAATCATTGAAAAATAGGATCGGAATTGAACTAAATAGACTTTTATGACTTATTTTAGCTTGATAGACAAATCAGGTTTTTATAAAGACGAGTAGTTCAGGGTTAGATATTCTTTTCTCCTCCTTCTCCCCTGATATTCGTCCTACACTCTGGAATCAGTTCAGGAACAATATTCAATCAATCAGTTTAGAACAAGTCCCTCTGATCGTTAATAATTTCTATATAGTTTATGACTTGTATTGATTTACTAAAAACATTTTTAAGTCTAGTTCCAAATTGCTTTAATTTAAAAAAACGCGCCACACACGTAGCATTCTGATAATTAGTATTTGTGCCTAAGTATTTAAAATCGACATTTGTTCTGTTTAGCATTTTTATTTCTTAACAAACTATAGTGATATTTTTAATTTTAAAATACATAAAACAGTTTTATATTTAAAAATAGTACACCGTAAAAATGTCTCATTGGTATCAAATGAATCCTAAAGTTTTTCTCTAAACTACTGTACTTTCAGTTCAACTTCCATGTCTAAAGTTTTCTCTACACTACTGTACTTTCAGCTCAACTTCCATGTCTAAAGTTGATAAATATTGATAATTATTGATAAATATTGATAAATATTGATAAATATTGATAAATATTGATAAATATTGATAAATATTGATAAATATTGATAAATATTGATAAATATTGTTATCAATATTTTTCATGCTTAAGTTTGGTGGAAATTAGCAACACTTATTACCAAACTGTTCCCTATTTCTAATATTAAAACTGCAGAATGCAGATAGATAGAACACCTGAATCTTTACCAATTTGGAATAATTTAAAATCAGAAATTAGTTAATTTAATTTATTGTAGATTATTTCATAGAAGGTCATTGTAATTGCATTATACTTAACAAGATTTATAGAAATTCATTGTAACTGAGCTTTCATTTGCACGTGCTAATTAAATACGTTTTATCTTTATTTTAGTGCGAGTGTACAGTTCTAGTTCTAGGATTTCTGAATTCCAGGTTCAAGTATTAACTCCGAGTACTGAGTCAATAGGTATTTATATAACATAGTATGGTTCGAAATAATTCTAATATGACAAAAAAAAACTTGAATTAAACAAATAAAAATAAACAAATTAATTAATTCCTTGTTTTCAAATATAGCTGTTATTGTGCGAGATGATGGATTGTTATCTCCGGATACACTGGACCAGGACGGAGTTTTCTCGGGTTACTTCTACTCATTAAACAGGAATACTACTATTCAAGGTTTTACCAAGCATGAAAAGATACGTTAGCGGAGAATTATATGAGAAAAAAATAATGAAAAAAATACTGTATGTTACACTAAATAAGATTTCGAATATTTAATGAATGTGATACATAATAAAATACTAATATTGAATAAATAGGATACTAATTACTGAATAAATAGAATACTGAATTCTGAAAAAATAGGATAATAAATACTGAATGAATAGGATATTAAATACTGAATGAATAGGATATTACATACTGAATGAATAGAATATTAAATATTAAATGAATAGGATACTAAATACTGAATAAATAGAATAATAAATACTGAATGAATAGAATAATAAACTCTGAATGAATAGAATATTAAATACTGAATGGATAGAATACTAAATATTAAATGAATAGGATGCTAAATACTGAATGAATAGAATATTAAATACTGAATGAATAGAATATTAAATACTGAATGAATAGAACATTAAACTCTGAATGAATAGAATATTAGATACTGAATGAATAGAATATCAAATACTGAATGAATAGAATATTAAACTCTGAATTAATAGAATATTAGATACTGAATGAATAGAATACTAAATACTGAATGAATAGAATACTAAATACTAAATGAATAGAATATTAAACTCTGAATGGATAGAATATTAAACTTTGAATGAATAGGCGTATCGTAGAAATAAAATAATAAATTTTAAAAGAATAAGATGCTAAATATTGAATAAATGTACTACTTCTCTACTAATACTGAGTATTGAATGAAAAGGATGGACTAAGAATAGTATAATCTATACTAGGACGGGTTACTATATGCTCTGGAGGGAAGAAAGGTAATCAGGCAAAACTAATTCAAACCTTTCTACATCAAACTAATCCATACCTTTCCACATCAAACTAATTCAAAACCTTCTACATCAAACTAATCCAAACCTTTCTACATCAAACTAATCCATACCTTTCCACATCAAACTAATTCAAACCTTTCTACATCAAACTAATTCAAACCTTTCCACATCAAACTAATTCAAACCTTTCCACATCAAACTAATTCAAACCTTTTGACATTAAACTAATCCATACCTTTCCACCTCAAACTAATCCAAACCTTTCCACATCAAACTAATCCATACCTTTCCACATCAAACTTATCCAAACCAAATCAAATCAAGGAAATCCTGTCTAGTATTGTTTAATTAATCTCGTTCCGTAGTCTACTCTAGTTTAGTCTATTCTCGTTTGTATATTCTATTCTATTCCAGTTAAGTCAATTCTAAAGTTGTATGATGATCACAGTTTGTGTCTTCATGTCTGTTATGGAGCTAAAAAGGATAAGAATTTGATTTATGATGTTTTCAAGCAAAATCTCTCTTTCTCTTTCTCTCTCTGTCCCCCCCCCCCCCCCCTTACATAATTCAGACCCTGCCGGCCCGTCTCTTCCTTCCTTAATCCAGAGTCTTTCTCTTTCATCACGAACTTAAAAAAAATTGAGCCAGAGCTAGATCCTAACAAAGTTGCTATAATATTTCTTTAGGATTTGAAATCTCGAACTATAATTTTGACCGTTGGATCCTGATGTTTGGATATTTATTTTGCAGTGCTTTGCATTTTACATGTTTTTTTTTATGAAAAATTAAAGAAATAAAAAAATTCCATGAAAAAATAATTTTGAAAAATCTCCCCAGGGCTTGAGAGGAAGTCAAGTGTTACTAAGTGAAAATTTAAAATGTTTCTGGTGAAAGCTTGAGAAATTAAGGCTTTGTCACAATCTTGAATTTTCTATCCCTAAATCTTTGCAACCTGATGTTAAATACCTTAGATCAAATATTCTCAGTTTAAAATATTAAGATTTTACACCATCAGGTTTTTTTAACCATATATAGGGTAGAAAATTGGAGCTTGTGACTAAAAGCATTAATTCCTCTAGGTTTATCCCTATCAGACAGAAGAAACCTACAACAGAAAATTGCAGACTTGAAAAATCTAAACCTTATGAACAAGTTTTTTCTTCAAATATTTGTTTTCTAATTGCCCTACAGGGGGAGGTTCGGTCCCCCCGTCACCCATGTGATGAAAACCTCTAATTGGATTTAAACTTAATGCAAACTAAATTCCTACTTATCAATATTTTTCATGCTTAAGTTTGGTGGAAATTAGCAACACATATTACCAAACTAGAGAAAGGAATTGGGTCTTTGCCACAAATTAAATTGCCTAGTTCCTATATCTTTGCAACCTGGGTTTAAACTTAGTTAATTCAAAATTTTAAATATTTAAGGTTTACGACATTGGGTAGTAAAGATATAGGGATTAGATAATCAGATTTTGTGGCAGAAACTCAATTCCTTATTTTGGAAATACAAAATAATTTTATTAAAGATTATCACTAGAAAAATGTTCTCAAATGCGTTTCTACAGTCCAAAGTATACAGATGAATTAATCGCTTACCCTACTCTAACTTCACTTTTGCAATCACCTTGATCTTGTCTATTTAAAAAAAAATTGAAACATATTCAAGGTCGTATACAGGGGGGGGGGCAGTGCCTCCCCCCTAGACCTGTAAAGTAGCCCCCCCTCCTAGAACTCAAAACTATCACACATAGTTTTGCTAGTTTTGTTTGAAGGAGAGATAAAGTAGTACTTGCAAGGTAATTGGACTGTATGTACTATGTGTACCTTTAAAGTATCCAAGAAGCCAAATGTTTTCAATTTAAACTCCCCCTAGGAGCTCCTAGGATGGGGGGGGGGCAAAAAATAAAAAAATAAATTTTGCGCTTCGCTCATATTTGGCTGCCTCCTAGATTTATTTCTGTATACGCCCTTGATTACATATTTACATGAAAAAACCTTGGATTTTCTTTATTATTATTTGAGATTTTTAAGAATCAACATGATGTCTAGGATTGAGGTGGTTGGAAACCTAGGATACAGATATCTAACCTTATCTCCAGCTCTCTACGTCTCACAACCGTCTACACAGGTTAATTTTTATCTCAAATATGAAGAAATCATTAAGTAGAAATTCGTATTTAATTTTCTTTCAAAAAGCCAAATTTTCTCTAAAGGAATTGAGTCATTGCCACAACAACTGATTTTCTTTACAGATTCTGTTCGATCAAAAAGTCCAAGTTTTCAACATCAAAGGTTTATACCGTCAGGATGCAAACATATAGGGATTAGAACATTTGAGTTTGTGGCAACGACTCAATTCCTTTGTTTACAAAAGCCAATTCTTGCTTTAAGACAAGATTTGCCTACAGTAGTTGTTAAAAAAGCCATTTTTTCGTGAATTCTGGTTCCGAGATTTGTCTTTAATTTTGGTTTTAAAAGCCAATTGTTCTTTAATTCTAAAAAGGAATTGAGTCTTTGTCACAAACTATGATTTTCTAATCTCTATATCTTTGTAACCCAATGCCGTAGACCTTAGATATTTCAAACTATGAATTCTGTTAGATGAAAAAATCTAAGTTTGAAATATCAAAGGTTTACACTTTCAGGTAGCAAAAATATAGGTATTAGAAAATCAGAGTTTGTTACAAAGACTCAATTCCTTTCGAAGAGGATTTTAACCACAAATAAAATATGTTATATTATGCTCGTTTCTATAATTTAGTTTACCTTAGTTTACCTTAGTTTACCTTAGTTTACCTTAGTTTACCTTAGTTTACCTTAGTTTACGTTAGTTTAACCAAACTAAAAAGTTCTAAATTATTTTCTAGAAAACTAGGTTTTAAATTATTTGATGTATTGAATTTCAAGTGAGTTTAACAATCAAGATCAAAGTTAGATTTTTTATTGTTTTTTAAATCTTGACCGATGTAAAGCCAAACCTTGCGGTGTGTGATATCCTATAAATATTAGGGGTCATTCGGTTCAGCCGTTTCACTGATAGACAGAACTAAACCGAATTTATGTATGTATTGTGTAAGATCAAAGTTTCGATGAATGATAAATCTCAGGGAGTAGATCTGATACCTCCGGGACGTATTGTGGATCTAGCTCTGGTTAGTGTCTCAACTGTGCAGAACAATGTTAAAGTTTCTCTCCGCTTCACGGAACCAGGAGATGATAACTTTGATAATGGAGGTGAGCACAAACATTTTCTTACTATCTCAAAACATTCTTGGTAAAAACAGTTCCACGGTTAAGGAATTTAGAATATTTATTTATTTATTACACCAATAATATACTGTTTACGTTTTATACAGGTTCAGTAAATTATGATTTTAATCTTTAAACTTCGATCTATATATACCTATCATCTATAAGGATACTGTGCACGCTACAGTTGCAGCTGAATAATAAACAGGGTACCACAAAAAAACGCTTTTTAAGGTTCTACGTAACATTACCTCTCAATAAACCTCAAGTATGAGATTTAGTAAGAAAAATGAGTGAGTAATGACAGTTCAAAGTTGGTTAAAAATTGAAATCAAGAAAATATGATCAGTAAACGAAAAACTTCATTTAATCTATCTGTATATATACTTTTCTTGTCTGTTCGTTTGTTTGTTTGTATCTGGTAAACGGCTGAACCAATCCGGCCAAAATTGAAGTTAATCCTCTCTTGTTGGATATCTCTACTGGGTTCCAACCAATGAGAGTGCGGGAAAGTTAGATAATTGTTCTCTTATTTGTTGCTTGCAATATTTACCGGCTTCTGATTGGTTTAATTAAAGATTAACTTAATCTTTAGATTAACAAATTATTCAAAACTTCTCAATTTTTGTGCTACGTAGTACATACCTCTAATTGGTGTTAATCAAATATAAATGTGACGTAGATTTAAAAAAAATCAAAAATATAAAATTCGAACCATGATGAAAGCGCAATACTTAAAGAGCATTTTTTGGCCTACCCTGTATATATCTATGTACGTACACTGTAAAGTACCGCAGCTCTATATGTACATTGTAAAGTACCGCAGCTCTATATGTACACTGTACAGTACCGCAGCTCTATATGTACACTGTAAAGTACCGCAGCTCTATATGTACACTGTAGAGTACCGCAGCTCTATATGTACACTGTAAAGTACCGCAGCTCTATATGTACACTGTAAAGTACCGCAGCTCTATATGTACACTGTACAGTACCGCAGCTGTACTATATCCACTGTGGTGAGAGGAGGGAGAATATAAGCTATCAGCTCTGCTCAAGTATACGAGGACGGGTTCGCCTCCCTGCTACCCCTAGAAAATTCAAGGTTTGTTTTGCAATTTTTTTGATAACTTGCTAAAAGACCCGGCGTTGCCCGTGGAAAAAAGGAAAAAATCGATTTTTTGGCTTATGTCACCCCCAGGCTACCCATGAGTGTCGACAATAAATTTCAGCCCATTCGGTCCAGCCGTTTGGCCGGCTATAGGATACATATGTACAATTGTCTTGTTTTATTATGCAGACAACTAGAGGTTTTAAGTTCAAAAATATTTTGTTGAGACGAAAATGACGTCTTATCCCAGAAATTCAAAACTTAATCTTCTTACCATTCTTTTACTTCAATGATGACTACTTAAAGTAAAGTATAAACTACTCGTGCCTCTCTTAAGATCGCTTAGAATTACTTGACAGTCCCTTTAAGATTAGGAATTTAAAATTTTTATAATATTTCTTAATTTATTTAGATAATAACGCTAATAGTGAAGAATTTTGATGTTGAAGTTTATATTGGTATAACAGCGCAGGACAGGTTAGTTCTACATAACTAGACTTCAGAAGAAAAGGAATTAAAAGTAAAAGTATGATTCTTTTTTTTAATCATGTTTTGTTATAAAATTCAACAACCTTTAAATATATGGAGTTAAAGAAAACGAGTTGTTGCCAAAAACTCAAATTTTCTAATCCCTATATCTTTCAAACCAGATGGTTTACGCCTTTAAAATTTCTATTCTAGTTTATTTGATATGACCGAACTCATAGTTTACAATAACTAAAGTCTACGATACCAGGTTGCAAAGATATAGGGATTGTGGCAAAGTCACAGCTTGCTGGGATAAGGACCCAACTGTTCTATCTATATTAGGTTTGGAATATATTATTTGTAAAACCATGTGCTAGGTCTGGAAATATGGGAGAGATGTCAAATATTGTTGAAGTTTATATTTCTTCTTCAACAACAACTTCAACATCATCAACAACAATATCTACAACAGGTAAGATAATGGACTCAACAAATATAAAAAGGATGTGTTGAGTTGAGAGTTAGGGTTATCTATATTATTACAAGAAGTGTCTAATATATTTACTTCTAGCTGGAGTAACCGGCGGACATACAATCAGATGCATTTATTACAGTCAAAGATCACAAAGAATCATTCCCAGGAAGAATAGAATGTTAATTGATAAACTCAGCTAAATCAAACATTGGCTGGCAGAATTAGTAAACAGATCATCTCGGAAGCAGTTCTATCCATTAAAAACAAAACAAGATTAAACCAATGGATTAACACTAGTCAAGTTATCTACTGGTTAAAAAATCTTGAAAACAAAGTTTGATATAGTTGCATTTTATCCTACTATAACACAAAAATCGACTAATTTCACAGAACAACAATTTGAAATAATAAGGAACTGTAACAGGCATTCCTTTTTCTGGAGTATAGTCCTCGGATAAAGAAAAGCAATGAAAACTTTGATGTTACAATGGGCGCATATGATGGTGAACTGGAGAAGATCATTCCACAAGAGAATATTAGATTATATCGAGATGATGGGTTATGTGTTGTACAAGGATCAGAACCAGAGATTTGAACAAATTTCAAAGATTGTAAACTCAAGGTTACAATAGAGGGAAATGTTACAGAATCCTTGGAGGTTTATTTTGATCTAAAAAAAAGAAAGTTTTAAACCGTTTCCTGTTCCTGTTTACATCAATACCTAGTCAAATCATAAAAAAAACTCCCAAAAATGATTGAAGAAAGAGTTTCTAATTGATCATGTTCCAGAGAAGTTGTTAAAAATGAATGAAAACCCTATATGTATGCACTACATCAAGCAGGATATACGGAGAGACTTGAATTCAACCCATCTAATCAAAACAGTGATAAAAAGAAAACAAGATCAAGACAAATTATTTGGTTCAATCCTCCTTTTAGTGAAACAGTAAAGACAAAAGTAGCGGAAAAGTTCTTAAGTTTGATTGATAAACATTTTGGAAAAACAGAACTGAGAAAATACTTTAATAGATCAACGATTAAAGTATCAAATTCTTGTATGGACAAATATATGGAAGCAGTTCTTTCTGGACATAATAAGAAACTTCTGAGTAAAACCTTTAAATCAAATCAAGATAAAAATGTATAAGATTGCAATTGTCGTACTTGAACTAAGAAGTGTGTTCTGAATGAAAAATGTCTGAGTAAAGGCGTGATTTATAAAGCAGAAGTGATGTCAACAGGGATGACTGCAAGTTATATAGGTATAGCTGCACATTCGTTCAAGGAGAGATATGCTAATCACAAGTTATCCTTTAATAATCTTAAATATGAATATAATACTAGTTTTTCCAAGCATATATATGAAACCATTTACAATATCCTTGTCAATAGTTAGTAAAGCTAAACCCTATAATCCTACGGCAAAAACGTGGAAAAAACTTGTATACTGTTATCTGAAGATGTAAACCTATTAAATAAAAGAAGCGAAATAATGAAGAAGTGCAGGCACCGAGAGAAATTCCTAATTACAAGACCTGAGGAGGAGTTAACAAGAGAAGAACTTTATGAACTGTCATTTCAAGAAAAAAATTTAAGTAAAACAATCTCTATCATTTTAAATGTAAAACAATTTTTACCCTATTATTCTGTGAAATCCGTAAAATCATTGTAAAAAATGCTCCAACTGATGACTGGGTCAAACCTATGAAACATTTTGTCTTGGAAAATATATATTTAAACATCTACAGTGTATATTTAAAAAGTTGAATATATATATATATATATAACAGCTTTAACCTATAAATATAAAGCTCTGGATAGAGAGTTTATTTATGTAAATTGTGTATAGTAAGTCCACATGCGCCGGAAATGACGTCAACAGCTGTTATTTTGGCGACAACTTTTGGTAACATCAACGTCAGCTTTACTACTGAGAAACCGGTTTTACAGACAGGTTAACCCGCTAACCAGTGTTAACCAATCTAAATATATGATAGACATCCTGTCAGATTAACATTTTGTACCTTCATTAACAAATACACTGGTTGTTCATAATATTTCCTCGTGTGTCTAATTCACTAATTCTAATTCACTTACTTAATAAAAACTTCTAATTCTATTTTTAAACGGAGAGTAAGCGTCATTTTAGGTGACTCTTTAATCTTCATGTAAAGATGGCATTCCAGTTCAGGTCTTTATTATCACAACACAAACATACCAATCCGTTTACGTAGTAGAATTGTACTGTTTTCTGTGTCATTGTCCCCAGAGTTTATAAAGTTTTTGGCTTGAACTGAATTCTTGATTATTTCTAGTTATCCCTGATGAAATCACTGAATCTAAGGGATCTGAGGGAGTGAGTCTGGTTCTGTTCTGGTCTATAGTTGCTCCTCTCCTTGCTCTTCTCATTATTCTTCTGCTTTGCCTGCTTATATTCGTCTTCAGTTGGAACTATAGGAAGAAAAGGTTCGGTTTAACAACAGTTATGTTTCTTTTAAAGTAATTATTTAGGACAAGATGGAGGGAGGGGATGATAACACTTTGTTTTGTTTAGGGAGCGAAGGCTTTTATTGGAGGAGGATATGCGAACCTATAGGTTGCAGGATAACCCGGAGTTCCAGGTTCAAATCATTTAACTAGCTCTTGGTTTTTACAATGTTTTCCAGTTTTAGAAGAAATTTTTTTTTAGGTTTCTTGTAGTCCAGAGGCAGCTAAGAATGTAAGGTTCATTAAGAGATCGAGAACCAAGACGAACGGAAGTTTAAGAGATATTGAGAAACCTCTCTCAGATTCATCCTCACATTCAGATTCCGAAAGTAAAGGTTTAATCATCATAACTTTTCTAAAAATTCTTTTTCTAGATAAAAAGTGAAAAATTAATGAAATTTGAATTGTCTCGTGGTATCTTGGAGTCTACCAAAACCTAGAAATAACCCGGGACGTACCCAACAGACTCGTGATCTGAGTTAGACCAAAGAGAGAGAAATTTTTTTTTTTTTTTTGGGGGGGGGGGGGGGGGGGGGGGCGTCTGACCTCAAAATTTTTAAGTTTGCTTTTAGTCCCTTTAAAATATAAATTATATTCTGTTTCTGTAGAGAAGGCTAGGCGAAGAAGAAAGAAGAGAAAGGGATGTAAGACGGATATCCCTGATCCAGTTTATACAATCTCACAGACAATAAATCATATTAAGTTTGACCAGGTCATAAATTTAAATTATGGAATTTATTATCAAGTATCAAAACTATTTAGATAACAGTAATTAGCAAAATTGTTTTCTATTCAGGATAAGCGAGATGATCATTTCTATCCAAACTCCAGTTTAGAATCTAAGCCTGGAGCTTACAGATACAAGACTAGAACCAAGGGTTTAGCTCCTGGTCTATCTAAAGACCACAATCCTAAATATTTAAACAATAATCCTCCAGGACGGGTTGGACCTCCTGTATTACCCAAACCTTCGTATTATAATCCTAACTCAAGTTCAAGAGTTCCTCAAAATATACAGATAGTGGAACCTGTTGAAGATAATTATGGTAGTTCTCAACCCTCAAACTATTTATCCTATATAAACAACAACAGGTATAGTGTATACAATGTCTTATTATTTTATGTATATGAGAGGCATCTGCATATCAGGATTAGATTATATACTTGGGATTTAAATATTAAACTATGACTAGAGTATTAAACTATGGACTAGAATATTAAACTATGGACTAGAATATTAAACTATGGGCTAGAATGTTAAATTGCGGATCACAAATATTAAAATTAATAAAAACTAAACTAATTTATTTGTTAGATTACCTGCAATTTACAGTACTGAGTCCACAGTCAACTCAGAAATTATGAAAAATTATGAAAAGGAGGTAAAATATTAATTTTGAGCATAAATTTTTTTATACCAATAAATTAGGGTACAATGTCGTGTTGTGAGGTTTGGGGAGTTATATTCTATTATCACTAAGAAATTACAGGTCGGGTGTTTCTATAAAAACATATTTGATGCAAGTAACACAGTTTTTGAATCGATTTTTGTTTTTAGGAAATTAAAAATATTTCTTCAAAAATTGGTCTATGCAAATAAATATGTTCTATTGGTTTTATGAACATTTGAATGGCTTTTAGAGTTCAGGAAATCCTCTGATATGGTTAGTTATATTTGTCAAATAATTGATGCAAATTGCTCAAATTTGAAACGATTTACATTTTCGCGTCCAAATAAATTGCCACAAACTCTGTTTTCTTAATACCTATATCTTTGAAACCCAATGATGTAGACCTTAGATTTGTCAACCTATGAATTATGTTATGGCAAATAGTCAAGTCCTTTTCTTTGTTTTCTCACCCGAGCTATTGTTTAAATATCTTTTATTAAAAACCTCATAGGAAACTTCAAACGTGAATCAAAGGAATTGAGTATTTGCCACAAACTCTGATTTTTCTAATCTCTATATTTTTACAACACAATGTCGTAGAACTTGGATATTTCAAGTTATGAAATATGTTGGATAAAAAAAACCTAAGTTTAAAATATCCTAGGTTTGCACAATCAGGTTAAACAGATAAAGGAATTAGAAAATTTGAGTTTGTGGCAAAGACTCAATTCCTTTGCCACAAAACGATTTAAGGTTTTGGTTGAATCATTAAATCAAATAGATTATCAAGTACAATAGGTAGCAACAGAGAAATGAACCAATTATACATGACGTCACAAGTGTCAAATATAACAAGGCAAACGAAATTTTCTCACATTAGTTGACATGTTTTCCAAGATTAAATAAAAAAAGTATAAAAACAGAAAATAAAGAACACATAAAATGGCACTTATCTTACTGTAAGATACCATTTTTTTTCTAAAATTATCACTATTATTAATTATTTTTTCGAACACAAAAACTAACTTGACACTTGTGACGTCAGAACACAGCTGTACTGACTCACTGAGAGTGTACAAATTCTACGTTGTCATCTATTGTACTAGAATCTATTTGCATTTAATAAAATTTTTTGAATGTTTTTATATTATATTTTTATACTTTATATTATGTCCAAAATAAAATTCGGTACAAAATTGAGACTAACGGTATCAACTAAGGTTTACAGAGATCCTGAAAATAAAATCAAAGTATTTTCAAAGATACGAAATGTTTTTTTGGTAAAATTATCAAAATATGGAAATTGCTTGAAAATCCTAGAAATTTGTCTAGTTTATGATGTTTCCGTAGAAGTACTCTACACTGGTAATTTTAGAAATATTATAAATCAAACTTCTATTCGTATTCTCCATCTCCTTTTTTATTTCTACTTTTTTAAATAAATTTTTTTATCTGTTTACAAAAATTTAAACCAAAATTGTTATTTCCCTTTGGTAAAAGATAATACTTTCTATATTTCTTTCTATGTCTGTAACCCCTACAGAAGGGAAAGGAAAGCCACATTATTTCTGTTTCCGAGCCTTATTCTCATTGTTTTCTCATCCGAGCCACTTTTTTCATATATCTGTTTAAAAACAAGTTTGTTTTCAATCTTATTGGGTGAAACTTAGACCTAAGTATTGATTAACTTACAAGAACAAATAAAACAGAATTCAATAATTCATTTAACCTCTAATGAGTAACGAGACAAAATAAAAAAAAGAGATTATCGCGAGTATTTGGTATTATGAAACGGATAAAATGTTTGAAGTGGCTCGGGTGAGAAAGTGAGTATAAATGTGGCTCAGATACGGAAATAATTGGGGGATTCCTTCCACTCTCCCCTGTGTAATATTGAATAAAATATTATTATGAGTTTAATTAATCCTCGGGACTAATCTCCTGGGAAAACTGTCCAGGTTCAAGAATATACTGGAAGTAAGAATATAAAAGAAACCAGAAAACATGTTCTCTTCCGCGTAATGGTTGTTATAATATTCTATCAAATATTTAGTTTTTTATAGTATTAGAATAACGAGGTAGAAATCCCCCAACTTATCTCTTTACTTTAGGTATTGTTTAACAAAACTAAATATAGTTCTTTTTTAATTAAAAGTATATATAATCATTTTTTCATGATTTTATTTGTCAGAAAATTGCTGTAATCCTGGGATTAAATTTTAACAAATCTGTTGTTCTGTTGAAACAGAACATTTTTCCTAAAAAAAGATATTTTTATTTCAGTTTGAACCCCGTTCTGAGAAGAGGAAACCCTTCAATTATATTGTCCAGAGTGAGGAACTGTCTCTTAATAAACCTTCAAACAAGAAAAATTCTAAGAATTTTGTATCTTTCGTCTGATTCCTGCGGAATTATGTATTTCTACTGATATTTACTTTTTACTTATAAAAGGGACTGTAAGCGTTATTCCAAGTAAACCTCCATTAACAGAGGTGCATGTCCGATTAAAGCTTTATCGAAGAAAACTGAGTTAGATGTCAATTGATTTGTTTATTTAAATTTCTTGTTTCTCTGCCAAATGAACTTGCTTATTTCTTGCTTCAGAAACAATAGAGAAATTATCTGAACTAAACAATATTCAAGGTTGAAAAATGACGATATATTTCACATTGTTGATCAGATTAAGGTTTCAATGGTACTGTTGTGAATTGGACGTACCCCTCGTTAATGGAGGGTCATTTAGAATTACATCGACAGTCTGTTTTTAAACTTTTTATGTTTTTTATCCCCCTGCTACCCCCTCCATCCCTCACCATTCTTCCCCCTTTCTCCTCATTCCTTCCTCTCCCTTCTTCCCTCTCCATCCCTCCTCCATATATCCCCACCCCCTCCATCTCTCACCATTCTCTCCCACTTCTTCCCCCTTCCATTTATTTCCTTCTCCTCCCCCTCCCGTTCTTGCCCCCGCCTTCCTTCTCCCGTCCTTCCCTTGCCTTCTATTCCCTACCCCTCCCACTAGTTTTTATTCATGTATGTAATAAGCAAAATAAATCATTTAAACTCCGCAAATAAAGTGACAAAAAAAACGTCATCTTATCAAACAATTTCCATTAAATTTCCTGGAACCTTAGAGTTAAACACAATTTTACCCTTAACCTGGGTTGAATTCAAATTACAAAACGATTTGACAGAAATATTGAAAACTCTGCCCAAAAATAGGCTTGGCCATGGGCATACCAAGGGTTTATCTGCATTGATTGATAAGAAGGAGGATAAGATTGAGGGTAGGAGAACGGAATGAAAGAAGATAAAACGGTGTAGTAAATATACTCGTATGTAGTAAATATACTCGTATGTAGTAAATTACTCGTATGTAGTAAATATACTCGTATTTTGTAAATATATATATATATTGGTTGATTTTTTTAGGGAACCCATGGCAACCCAGGGGAGGGTAACATAGGCTAAAAAAATTAGATCTTTTTTCAAAAATCTAATTTTTTGCAAAATTCAAAATTTTGTTTTTCCCCTGGCAACACCGGGCACTTCAGCTAATAATATATATAACTAAAGTACAATCTCAGTTTTTCATATTTAATAATATAATTAATAATTTGTTTAGATATGTTGATAGATAGATACATATAAGTAGAAGAAAGATGGTTAGATGAATAGGTATATGAGTAGCATAGATAGATAGATAGAAAAATCTGAAATCTTGAGTTTAGTTTAAATAGTTGGATAGAGCAGAGAGGGTGTGCCACATATTTACATACTAAACCTAGTCAAAGCTAACACATAAACCTGGAGCTAAACATAGAGAAATAAACAAACCTTGACCAAGGTGTGAACCTAGTTAGACCTGGAGCTGAATCTATCCCAGATATGGGTTCGGAGGACTATCGGGGTTTAGATTACTCCGAAGAATATCAGTACGACCCGGAGAACAAGGAGAACAATATCTTCTCCTCGGCTATGATGAGCAAGTAGGTTCTATTTTATACAAAGCTACGAACATTAAATAAATCTTTTAAAGAACTACATTTTAATCTTCTGTTACAAGCTTGAAAATAATCCTCTGTTTATTATTAAATTATTTTATTAAATGTGTGTGTCATTCAGTAAAGTTAACATTAAAGGGAGTGTTCTCGAAAAATAAAAGAGGGTATATGTTGAATCTGAATTAAATTTGGATTCGATTACTACAAATTGTGCGTCTGTAATAAGGAAATGGTTGACACCGCTTGACTCTAATACCGAAGACGATATTTTTAATCAATTAATCGCTCTCCTCATACCTTTAATCGGTCCCATTTTTCGCGAACACTCCCTTAACAATTGTTGACACAGTCTAGTTTACAACTTTACACTGTATTCTGTATATAATCTTCAATTTAACAGCAATAAAACTGAATGCAATATAAATTATATGCATTTACAAATATATATATATATATTTCAGTTTTTAACTTACATTTTTATTAAAAAAAGAATTATACTATACATAATGTTTCACGTCTATCATGACGATCCTCAGTAGCTACAATTTCTTTGAACAACTACAATTCCAAGATTTTTTCATCACATATTGCGTATTTTCTAAAAAATTATTACAAACATTTCTTTGCAATGATTTTCCCTTTTAAAAAATATAAATCGATGATAATAGATATTTTCTTCTATGCCGACATGTATTTAGTAATTCACTACGCTGATTTAGAAGATGATGATGTGTAGATGTGAGGATAAGGGTTTTTTCTGTGTTGCATAAATTGCATCTCTTCTTGGTTGGATGATACGAGGGTGCATACATGTCGATAAACCATTTTATTTCATAAGGTTTCTTCTTCTTGGTTGGATGATACGAGGGTGCATACATGTCGATAAACCATTTTATTTCATAAGGTTTATTTTGATCCTTTAATTTCCAAGCGTACTTGGAAAGTGTCGAACTTTCTTTGTATTTCTGATTCCTAAAAGATGATGTATGATTCAGGTACCTCTCTTTAAATGTGTTAGAATCCAAACCAATATATGCCACTGTATCTTGGTCCGATTTTATTTCTGCTCTGTACACGATAGATTTGGTTAAACATTTTCCATTTAAAGGACAACTATTTTTCCCTTTGCAGTTACATTCCTTTTTAGACATTGCCTTATGTTGTTCATAGTGTTCAGGTGGAACTTGTGTTGGTGCTGTTGGTAAGATTGGTTTGGTGGAATAGAAAGTGTTGAATTTGGGATATAGAGTTGGTTTCGGGAATTGTTTGATATATCATATTGTGTGTTTAAAATATATCTGTTATGATTTGAGATAATTGAGTCCATATTTGGCATACAACTGTATGACAGTTTCACTGTAGAACGGTTGAAGAATTGTTTCAGTTTACTATTGCCGAAATGTCTATTTATCAATGATAGAAATTTAGCTCCAATATCAGTTTTCACACTTTCGCTGTATGGAGGATTAAACCAAATGACTTTTCTATTCCTGGATCTTTTCTTTGTATTTTGCTGTTGAGGTAACTTTTCAAACTTGATTTCATCTGTATAACCTGCTTCAATTGTAATGCTGAATTGTACACATGGGATTCTGAATCAAATTCTTTCTTAGAACAAGATAGAGTAGATATTCTGTTTGAAATCATATTGGGAAGCTGTTTCTTTATGCTTTGTGGATGGTTTGACTTAGCATTGATATACAGGATTGGATTATTGCCTTTTCTATAATCCAGTTCTAGAAGTAAAGATAGATCCTAATTTGGGAGTTTCTCATGCAGGCAAGATTTAGATAGTTTATACAAAGGATTTACTCTGGCTCGGATGAATTATATATATTACTGAACTAGCTAAAATTCCCGGCGTTGCCCCTGGAATAAAAAAATCGAATAAAATAATCTAAATTTGAAAAAGAAATCAAATAAAAAAATTCAATTTTGAAAAAAAAAATCGGAAAAACCCCTAATTTGGTCCCGCCGTTTGGCCAGCTTTAGCTAACATATATACAAATATTATATACTAGCCTTAAAGGGCGCTTCGCGCCCATCTTCTAAATTAATTGTGAACATGTTTTCTTTGTGTACATCGTAAAACAAAACAAAAATAATTCGCGGATTTTCACAAAAAAAATTCGTGGATTTTCAAAATTTTCAAAAATTTAATGAAGATCGAATTTTGATGGAGACAAATATTTGAAATTTTGATCATTCATAAACCTTCCCTGGGGTCCCTAGATGTCCCACAAAAAATTTAGGCCCGATCGGTTCAGCCGTTTTGACGTTTATTGGATACAAACAAACAGACAGACAAACAAACAAACAGACAGACAAGCCAAATTTATATGTAGATGAATTCTACAAATTGAACCAAGACATGATTTGAATAAATTTCTACATATATATGTACATTTATCTGATTTGATTTTATTTGAAGAAAAATATTCTTATTTTTTTGTTTTTAACTTTAATAATTTATTTTGGATAAGGGGTGTGGGCACAAGCTCGCGCATACAAATAAAACGGTATATCAATAATTTTATTTCCAGTTTGTTATCAAGGTCTATTTTGTATTGCTCAAGATCGGTAAAAGTCATGTACCCCAACGTTGTCTTAAAAACTTGACCAATTGGTTACCTTATAAACCATAGTGAACACTTATTTTACTGTTTTTCCTTAGGATTGACTATTAGGTTAGGTTAAATGATAATAATTGGTAATCGTATATAGCGTTAATTTGTTAATGACTTGTAGAAAGATGGATTTTCAAACATAATTGAGTTAGGTTCTTTCGTCCTTTTCTCAGTCACAAAAAGTAAAAAGTATAAAAACATGATAAATAATGAGTGTATTAAAGGAGAGGAAGATGGTTCCAGTTTCCGACACTACTGATTTGCGGATTTCATAATCCTCCTTCGGGGATTTCATCCTCTACAAAAGTCCCCCCTAAGTCTCGAGCATAGAGGGAGTCGAGACTGATACTTATCTCCTTGTAAGTGTTTACGGAAAAGGAGTAGAAGGAATTCTGGTGATGATTGATCATTATTTACAAATAGTTGTTTGTAAATTTCTGATCTACCCCCTCTCCACGTCACGATCAACCTTGTGGAAAGCTGGCGAGTGGCCATTTGAAGAGATCAGTTGTAGTGAAGGTTTAGCTGATTAGCTCCGGGAGTAGCTGTGTAACTAATTAGCTCCAGGAGTAGCTAGCAGTGTAGCTAATAAGCTTCTGGAGGGTTGAAGTTTAGCTTATTATAGTCTCAGGAGTAGCTAAGGTTAAGTTTATTAGCTCCAGGAGTAGCTGATTGTAGGTTGAAGGAATATTGAATTTGTGGAAAAGAAGTTTAAGCTAGAGATTGTTATCCTCGTCCAATTCTTGAGCTGTTTCCGACCAGAAGGCTGTGATTTCAGCCATTGTTCGTTTGTTGTCTGGGGTCACCACTTTAGAAGTACATTTATTGCTTCTAGATATAAATACATGATAAATAACGAGTGTATAAAAGGAGAGGAAGATGAATAGGTTATATTTCCAGGATTTGCGGATTTCAGATTCCTCGTTCGGGAATTACTTCTTCTACAAGACATACCTTATATTGACTATTTTAGCGAAGGAATCTTCTGGAACATGAATGATTGGTTTAGATGTTTTTTTTTATTTACAACTCCTAAACTCATGAACTCATGAACTCATGAACAATTGAACATAAATGAACATTTACTTGAAACTCTAAAAATAATCTTTCATGTTTTATTTTCTGCTAAATATTTAATTCTTTTACAAATATTTCCATTAAACATTGCCTCAGAAAAGTTTTCTTGAAAAAAAATATTTCTTGGAAGCCAAAGAACAAAAGGCTCTTCAAGAGTAAAATATTTAAAATTAGAAAAATCATTATTTTTATTTTATTTTTCTTCTGTCTAAATTTTAATGTTTTTAGTAGAATAAATCCTGGACAGAATTTTATTCCTTTAATTTTCACAGTTAAGCTTGATTTTCATGGTTTTGTAAAATTTCGTTGTTTTGTTTAATTTAAATTTTTTTTATCATGGGTTCGAACAATTTCATGAGTTAGTTTAGTTTCTGTTGTTAACTTTTCTATGGTTTTTTTTTGGAGCGGGTCTAAAATAAAAAGTTCGATGCGACCTAATTTTTTAGGGTTTTAGAAAGGTTTAAAAGTTATACTCATGGTTTAATTCAGCCAACATTTGTGTTGGTAGACTTCAGTTAAATTTATATTTGTGTTGGTAGACTTCAGTTAAATTTATATTTGTGTTGGTAGACTTCAGTTAAATTTATTGTCAACATTAAATATTATCTTTTAAACTATTCCATGAGGACAGATTAGCGAGAGAGGACAAAACAGGGCCGGGGGGGGGGCATGCTGCATAGTTAAGATGAAAACTATAAAGAGAGAAAAGGGAACATAAGGAAAAAGGACTATAAGGGGAGGGCAGGGACTATAAAGGGAGGGACGGGACTATAAAGGGAGGGACGGGACTATAAAGGGAGGGACGGGACTATAAAGGGAGGGACGGGACTATAAGGGGAGGGACGGGACTATAAAGGGAGGGACGGGACTATAAAGGGAGGGACGGGACTATAAAGGGAGGGACGGGACTATAAAGGGAGGGCAGGGACTATAAGGGGAGGGACGGGACCATCAGGAGATGGAAGGGACTAAAAGGGGAGGGGAAGGACTATAAGTGGAAGAAAAGGACTATAAGGGATGGAAGGGGGCTAGAAAGGGGGAAAAGAGACTATTAGGAGAGGGAAGGGCTATATATATAAGGGTATGGCAGGGTGCTAGAAAGAGAGGGACTATACAAGGGTATAACAGTGGGCTAGAAGAGATGGTATGGCATGGGGCTAGAAGGAAGAGAAGGGACTATACAAGGGAATCAGGGGCTAGAAGGGAAGGAACCATACAAGGTATGGCAGGAACCAAGAAAGAGAGGAAAGGGACTATACATATGAAAGGGGGGCTAGAAGT